GAACACAGCGAAGTAGTACCTTAACAGCCGTTAACAGCCGTTAACAGAACACAGCGAATTAGTACCTTAACAGCCGTTAACAGCCGTTAACAGAATACAGCCAGCCGTATAATAGGCATTACACATACAGAACTTATCCCCCATATCCAGCTAGATAGCCATTGCACTATAGTCCCCTATGTCTATATCACCCAAATAGTAGCTTAACCGCCGTTAACCGCCGTTAACAGCAACACAGCCAGCCTATAGGCATTACACATAACGGTTTCAAACCTTGATCGAGCTACGTAGCCATTGCTTTATCTCCCGCTATATCTGTAGCACCCAATTAGCAGCTTGAGAGCCGTCAACAGTACTTCGCAGCCTGGAGTGGTAGCATTGTAGACAACGCTGTAGGTATAGCCTTCCCCAGCCGTTGACAGGAACATCGCCATCTGCCCCATCGCTGTTAAAGTCTATAGGCATTGCTCGAGTGGTAGCATTGCAGTCAAAGTCACAAAGGTGTAGGTACAGCGATTACCTAATTAAGTAGAATAGCTTGCCGTGATTCGTTTCAATTTCCTGACGCATTGGGAGTCAGTCCTGCCCCCTGCATTATGGTCTCCATCCTGGCGGCGGCGTTGGTGATCGTCGGCCGCATTCGCGGGTCCGTGCTGACACATTCAGCAACCAGGCATAGCATTTGTCTGGTCAGTCCCATAAATGCAGGCCTCGTGATGTCCCTTCGAATGGCAGGATCGACCATCGTCGTCAGATCAAAGTCCCTATCGAGAGTGCACGCTCTGAGGTTCTCTTGTTCGACGACCACAAGGGTCCGTATTCCCCCCCGGGGCAACGGACAGCTGCCTCTTTGCCAGTGAGCATCTCCAAGAGCAAGTGCCACAAATCCCGCTCTGCACAGCAGCTCTGTGGTCCTGGCGGAACACGTCCTCAATCACTTTGGCCATTCCGAAATCGGCTAAGTATGCCTTAAGATTCGACCCAGAACCTCTGCCCAGCAGCACATTGTGGCTCTTTACATCCCGGTGGATGACTGGCGGGTTGGCACCATAGTGTAGATAACTCAGAGCATGGGCGATCTGCAAGGCTATGGATGCACGTTCTTCCAACGTTAGGGGAGGAGACACCTCAGAAGCTGCTGCTGATGTTCTGCCTTCTCTTCCTCCTCCTCCTCCTCGTCCTTCTCCTCCTCCTCTTCCTCCTCCTCTTCGTCCTTCTCCTCCTCCTCCTCTTCCTCCTCCTCCTCCTCGTCCTCCTCCTCCTCCTCCTCTTACTCCTCCTCTTCCTCCTCTTCGTCCTTCTCCTCGTCCTCCTCTTCCTCCTCCTCCCCGTCCTCCTCCTCCTCCTCCTCTTCCTCCTCGTCCTTCTCCTCCTCCTCTTCCTCCTCGTCCTTCTCCTCCTCCTCCTCTTCCTCCTCCTTCGCCTCCTTGTCCTCCCTGTTCTTCTCCTCCTCCTCCTCTTCCTCCTCCTCCTCCTCCTCCTTGTCCTTCTCCTCCTCCTCCTCCTTGTCCTCCTCCTCCTCCTCCTCCTCCTCCTCCTCATCCTCCTCCTCGTCCTTCTCCTCGTCCTTCTCCTCCTCCTCCTCCTCCTCCTCCTCCTCCTCCTCCTCCTCCTCCTCCTCCTCCTCCTCCTCCTCCTCCTCCTCCTCCTCCTCCTCTTCCTCCTCCGCCTCCTCCCCCTCCTCCCCCTCCTCCTCCTCCTCCTCTTTCTGCCGTCTCTCCCAGTTGCTCTCCTGCCGCTGCTTCTCTTCTCGCCGCTGCTGCTCTTGGGTCATCTTGCAATCCCTCTGCTCCTGTCCCTTCCGCTCCTCCTGCGGCTAATCTCTCCGCCACCTCTTGTTCCGCTTCTGATCCTTGTCCTGATCCTAGTCCTAGTCCTAGTCCTGCTCCTGCTCCTGCTCCTGCTCCTGCTCCTGATCGTGGTCCTGATCCTTGCCCTGGCATACTTCCTCCTCGTCTGCGCGTTGCCCATAGAGTCGTTTGAATAAGCTTTCCCCTTTTATGTAAGGGTAGACCAAGATGTAATTATTGCCTTGCTGACAATAGCCAATCAAACCGCAGAGGTTGGAATGGTGCAGCCGGCTTAGTGTGCTTACTTCTGTGCGGAATTGTTTCAAAATATTCCTTTCGTCCCTGGACTGCTGTGTGTCGATATTCACGCCCTGCGCATTCATAACCTTGACGGCGATCTGTTCTACAGTCACATTCTCTGGTGCATTCAGTAAATTCTGGTACGCGAACCGTCTACTCTGTCTCTCTCCCCGCCCCGTTCTTCCGACACCCCTTTCCTGCTCTTCACCCTGCTCACGTTCCAATTCTCCCAAATAGACAACACCAAAACCTCCCTCTCCGATCCGATAAGACCAACTTTTTGTTGCCTTCACCAAGGTTGCCCATCTGAATTCCTCGATGCTGTGGATCTTAATGCCATTCCCGGACTGTCGCTCCCGCTTTCGTATCAACATTACTGCTGCTGCTGCTCCTGCGAAGGCGGCCACTACAGCGAACACACCCCCCACAGGTATCCCGACGACCAAGGGGATGCCTGTCCTGTCTCGACACTCGCAAGTAGACGGCGAAGAAGACGGGGGTGCATGAGGTGAAGAAGAAGAAGAAGAAGAAGAAGAAGAATAGGAAGAAGAAGAAGTGGAGGAAGAAGAAGAAGAGGAAGAAGAGGGAGGAGGAGGGTCCAGCGGCGTCTCCCTCTGCAGGGCGGCCCTGTCGATGGCCAGTCGAAGTGCTTGGTAGTCGTGTGTACCTATTACCAGGATACACTCTTCGTCATACTTCCCAGTAGCCAGCCCATAACCTTCAGACCCATCACGAGGCCGATACTCGGCCACGTTAGATACCCGCCGGGCCAAGCCACATGGAGACTCGAGCTGTATGCGTTTCACCATACCCGTGTCATTTTCAGATACGAAGATGTTGTTTCCGTCGTCAGTCACTGCCAGGTCATACAGCCCCCCGAAAGACACGTTGAGAGCGTTAGAGACTCCGTCTGCGGCCGTTATGGGCCCTCCGGCGACGGATTTGACACTCTTGGACACAAGGTCGAGGGCCCAGACGGCCCCGCCAACCCGATCGAGGAAGTACAAACATGCTCCCTGTGGGTCGAAGCTGTAGGGCCCAAAGTAAATCGACTGCACAGAGTAATTGGCTGCAAAGACTTGGGAGAGCGCGAGTGCCTTGTTCGACGGAAGGCCAGTCTCGTCGAATGTGACGGGGGAAGAATAGATAGTAAAAGGTGGCACTGCCCCGCTGGCGACGTATAAGTTCTTCAACGAGGGATCGAACGCGATCGCCGCTGCGTAGTCGATCATCAGCGGGAGGGAGGATCTGTTCCCAGTCTCCGCACTCAGGGCTGTCAGCCAAGATCCCGCCGGAGTGGCGCCATGGTAGCCCGATAAAAATAGCTGCTTTCCAAAAATAGCCGCACCGGTGACGAAATCCCTGGAGGAAGCACGAGCACCGTCTTCGCAGCTTGTGTTGACAAGACGGGATCCCGTCCCGTTACGTCCCGGCCACCAGGTGCTGATCAAACCACCCTCCTCAACTGTGATGTCCAGGCTAGATTGGCGGAACGAAAGGAGACCTTTGCTCGGTGACCATCCTCCGCCCACCCAGCAGGTCTCGTCGAGGATATAGACGAGCTTCGTGTTAACCTGCGTCATAACAAAGACCTCTCACGCATTAAGATATTCAATATCCCGGAGGAAGCAATACCTATCTGTTCTCTATTCGCAGACGATCTTACCGTAATGGTAGAAGTGACAGGATCCAACATGGAAGAAATTCAGCATCTTATGAACACATTCTGCCAGCTGTCAGATATGACTGTGAACTGGGGACAGAAGACAGTGGGGTGGTGGATGCATCACCAAGGGGGAAGACCCCCGGAAAACCCGCGAATCACATGGTTCCCCCCAAATGAACCCCTAAGCATCCTGGGGGCCCTAGTCACAGCTAGAGGGAAGCCAACAACTAATGACGAGTGGCTGGCAGGACCTGCGCGAGCCAATTTGGAAAAATGGAACAATAAACGTACATCAATTTTTGGGCAGACAATTGTCAATATTAACGTGGTTCTAGCCACACTCTGGTAGAAGGCCATCCTATGGCCCATGAGTAATGGGGGGCTCAAAATACTAAAACAACAGCTCGCGGCCTTCCTATGGAGAGGCGATAGTAACATTCCTCGCGCTATTAGCTGAGTGGCATTGGAATCGGTGATTCAGCCCAAGAACAGAGGTGGACTAGGAATTGTGGACCCGGCCACACAATTCCAAGCCCTCTCGATTCGCTGGCTTCAGCATATTATCTTTTCGTCGTCGTGCCCATGGACCCCCCTAGCCTTGGCACAGATCTCTGCCCTGGCCCCGGAAACCCCACCTGAGATTGACCCCCGCGTATGGCTCGAGGATAGATATTGAAGGCTACCCAAGAAATACAGGAACGGGGACCCCACGGACAGACACTAGGAGCGCCTCATACGCACAAGAAGGAAACTCCCTCTCCCCGACCGACCTGCACCAGAGAGGTGGGAAGAAATATTGAGGCAACCCTTATTCGGCAACCGTCTAATAACGGACTCCCGGAGGCATATGAGGCTATGAAACACTGTCGGCGGCGGCCATCCGCGGACGAATCAACGGACGCGGCCAGTCCACAGACCCCGCGGACGCGCGACTTTGACGCCACGTGGCAGTCGCGCGGGATCAACTTTGGGAAATCGGGAGATGCCACGTGGCGGCGCATCCACGGCCCCAGCCCCCCACAGAAAAAAAAAAAAAAAAAAAAAAAAAGATCAACTTTTTGGA